TACTCTCAAAGATGGATGCCATTGTGACCTTTTTTCAATGTTCCCTCCAAGATAAGTCAAAGTCACTGTGCCGGCTTTTCCTGAGACCACATGCCGCACATCACGTACTCATAGTTTCCTACCACTCCAACACTCTTCACTTCGCACATGCAGACACAAGGCTTTGGGACACTAGGTCACACTTAGAAGGGGGATCAGAGACACCCAGATCACTGTATACAGAAGCTAGGAGATGGGCCAAGAGACACGTTTGGATGGGGACCAGAACTGGTAATGTTACGAGTGTTCCCAAATCATCTGTTGCCGCTCACAGCCAAACAAAACACAAATGGGAGATAAAGGGATATTGTAAAAGGTTGAAGTAAAACACTTAAAGTGGAACTAAAGTAATATAATCCATTAAATGTTTAAAAGGAGAACTATGAGGTGAATGATTTTCACTCATCCTCATAGTTCGAGCCGACGTGTGACAATGAGACTGTCACACGTCGCCTCAATGGATCAGGAAGTGAGCGAACACATACAGTGGCTCGCTCACTTCTCGATCTCCCTGCAGAGAGCTGTGACTGTCACTCAAGGCTCCCTGCAGGGATTCCCCCCCTCCTCCAGCGCTGACTGGCAGAACGGACGGGTACAGCTGACTCTGCCTCTAGATAGGCAGAGTCAGCTGTCAATCACGCAGCTGGGTGTTCCCTCCAAGATAAGTCAAAGTCACTGTGCCGGCTTTTCCTGAGACCACATGCCGCACATCACGTACTCATAGTTTCCTACCACTCCAACACTCTTCACTTCGCACATGCAGACACAAGGCTTTGGGACACTAGGTCACACTTAGAAGGGGGATCAGAGACACCCAGATCACTGTATACAGAAGCTAGGAGATGGGCCAAGAGACACGTTTGGATGGGGACCAGAACTGGTAATGTTACGAGTGTTCCCAAATCATCTGTTGCCGCTCACAGCCAAACAAAACACAAATGGGAGATAAAGGGATATTGTAAAAGGTTGAAGTAAAACACTTAAAGTGGAACTAAAGTAATATAATCCATTAAATGTTTAAAAGGAGAACTATGAGGTGAATGATTTTCACTCATCCTCATAGTTCGAGCCGACGTGTGACAATGAGACTGTCACACGTCGCCTCAATGGATCAGGAAGTGAGCGAACACATACAGTGGCTCGCTCACTTCTCGATCTCCCTGCAGAGAGCTGTGACTGTCACTCAAGGCTCCCTGCAGGGATTCCCCCCCTCCTCCAGCGCTGACTGGCAGAACGGACGGGTACAGCTGACTCTGCCTCTAGATAGGCAGAGTCAGCTGTCAATCACGCAGCTGGGTGGATCTCGACAGTAATGTCGGGATCTGTCCTGGCTGCGGCGGACTCAGTATACCGCGAGCTGTAGCTCGCGATATACTTTGCTTTGGGTCATGGGAGGACACTAGTTTATGTCCTCCCGTTACCCTTAGAAGAACTATGGGGAAAAGCACTGACCCTAGTTCTCCTTTAACAAATTGTATACTGCTCATGCACAGCTAAGTAGGTTGCCAGGTGTAAATGCTGGGATGTAGTTATTCCCATGTGTACGTACAAGTGCTACATCATCCCTGACCAGTCCTTAAAGACAGAAAAATATGGAGATGGCAGCAGCAAAAGAGGGGAGCATGGACGTCCATCACCGGGAGAGGGCATTTTGCTAGGGAAGTGTATCATAATGTGCAAATATGCTGCTTACAATCTACTTGCACAGTTTTGGGGGCCCCAAAACTGAAGTCTTGCATTAAAGGATAATGAAAGCCGCGGGTGTTTTTGTGTGTATATATATATAATCTAGCAAGCAGTAGATATATGCAAAAAGTGTAAAAAAACAAACAAAAACGCTTTGAAAAGGGTTAATACTTACCTGTCTTCCCCGCGCGCTCCCGTCCAAAAATGTGAAAAATCTGGTGCGGGCGCATGCGCAGTTCACATTTTCGGCCGGGACGCGAGGAGAGACACAAGGTAAGTCTATGGACGCGTGCACCCGCATGCAGACACCGTGGGACAGGAAGTGCCAGCAAGGACAGAGGAGTCAGCGCTGGATCGGAGACTCCGATCGGAGACTCCAGCAGCGCTGGCGGTACAGATGAAAGGAAAGAAGATCGGATTAAGAGACATCATTTAAGGTAAGCGCTGACATTAAAGTCAAAAATGTTTTGCCCTCCCCCCAATGTTAATGTCACTTTAAAGTCAAAATGAAAATTGCATAGCTTTTTATCTCCTTTATAGTCCTGTGCCACCGCATGGTATAATTTAGGGCAGAGAATTGTTTGAAAATGCCTCAAAATACCTTTTTCTTGCTACTTCTTGCTCATGCTCTGTGCGGTCAGAGACCTGTAACAGCCAAACCCCTCACACCAAGTGGCCCAGGTCCAACTCTGGTGCCTATTGGACTGCATGGTCATATTTAGACAGCCACCACTTCTTGAACAGGAAATTGAGGGAAAGAACATAAAAATGAAAGTTGGTACATCTAACTACATATCTATGGGAGAACTGGATCACAACAGTGGGGGAAGGTAGAGGCAGAATCTTCAGTTGGGTCCACGTCTATAGCAGAGACACCCTTTAAAAAAAAAGTTAAGAAAACTGGTACGGACAGCTTTCATTCATGATTTTATTGCTACACCGTAGATTCACTTCAATGGTACCATACACTCATATGCCCAGGGCAGCCAATTTATCACATTAGGCAATGACCCAGATAATAAAGCCCATGACATCACTACAAACCAGTGACATCACTGGGGTACTTCGCACAAAGCTTTTCAGTTTTAGTGACACAGACATGGGCCCCATTCCCACGATAACTGCTTCAGTTACAAAATGGCTGCTGGGATGGTGTTAAGAGAACAGGTTGACTTCATTGGACCTATACGTTTTGAATGGCTTTAACTTTATTGACATCAGAAAAAACAGCAGTGGCATCCACAGCAGTAAAACCACTGAGGTGCCAGAGCCACAACTGAAAAATTAAATTAAATGTTATAAATACATTGTGTTAAAAAACAACAACTGGTGGGCTGTAATAGAATAAAATGATGACAATTGATTCCCTTTGGAGCCATCTCTTCATCCACGTATCAGAAAATAAAACATCTTTCACATAAAACTTGAACAGTAGGACAGAAAAGATTTATGGCACTAAAATCCTATTGCATAGGCGGACAGCTTGCCTTCATCGTGTCCCTTATAATTTAGTGTACTGCCAAGCTTAATAAACTTGTACTAGTTCCGGAATTAGCAAACCGGCAGCTCGATTTTGGGCTCTCTGTCTGAAAGAAGAAACAATTCCATTAACTGGATGTTCGGTTTTAAGCCCAGGCACACTTTTCATTTT